TGAGGAGGAGTTACTCTTTTCCCTTGAAGGAGAGGTATTTTCTTGCCTTCCCATATTTCTTGTGACCCTGCGGTAATTTCTAGTCATCTAATAGATGGTGTGTTTCTTCCTAATTCTTGAAGTTCAAACTGAGCATTCAGGAGCGTGCAGAAGGATATGATCTGGAATCTCATTGCTGTTCTGTTTTTATCCCTTTGTTAGGCAGATTCAGTGGATATTGAGGAATATGTTAACCCTAATAGTATTTGGATGTTTGGCTATGATTCCCTTAGATCTGTCTAGAAACACAGTAAACAGAGATTGAGGAGCAGAATGATGAGATAAAAGAAAAAGTAAAGGAAACAGAGAGAGAGAAAAAGAATGAAAAAGACAAGGAAAAAATTTAAAAACAACGAAAAAATTTATTTTTTTAAAAGAAGGCAAAAAATAAAAAACTAGTTCTTAGGAGCCATGGAGGAATCTTCTTCTGAAGGCCTGCCCCTTGCCTTTCCTGGAGTGGAGAGGGAAAAGAGATTATTAGCAAGATAAAGGAGGGGCTGAAAGCCAAGAGAATTTATTTACCTTAAAACTTTTTAAAAAGGAAAAATTACAAAAAAAGAGAAGACAGAGACAGAGGCAGAGAGAGACAGAGACAGAGACAGAGAAGACTAGAGGGGCTCCCAACCACTCAAGTTTGGGGGCTGGAGGCTGAATTACAGGAGAAAATATTCATTTCTTGTTTTTTCTTGAAATCGCTAGTTCTCAGGAGCCATGGAGGAGTTTTCTAAAGGCCTGCCCCTTGCCTCTCCACTTGAGTTTGGGGACTGAAGGCTTAATTATCAATAGAAAAATCTTCATTTCTCTTTTTTCCCTGAAATCACTAGTTTTCATGAGGCATGGAGGAGTCTTCTCTGTTTTTTCTGATTTTCAAAGGTCATTTATTTATATAAAGAACAAAGATCAATCATTGATAGATTGTCCATTTTATTCAATAACCTTTTGCCATCTTTCAGTGAACTTCATAATTCCTCGTTCATAGAAGAACCTATCTTTATTGGCAAAAAACTGAACAAGGTGCTGATTTACAGCCTCATCTGAATTGAATGTTATACAGCAAGGAGTTCTGAAGAGAGCAAAACAAGTGGCAGTCTGACCGCGCAAGGTCAGACAAGTATAGTGGATGTGACAACGCATCCCACCTAAGCTCCAAGAATTTTTGACGGGTGCTCAAACTTTCTGTGTGGTCTCATGTTTCTGCAACCTCTCATGCCATGTAACATGGGTTTGACTCAATAAATGGCTTTATATTGTTGTCATTAAACTTGGTGTGCCTCCCTGACCAAGGATCATCGTTGAGATCAAAATCACCAGTGCAGAAATTTTTTTTAATGTTTGAGTATCATTTTTTTAAAAATAACTTTTTATTTAACTTTATTTATTCATTCATTTTATTTAAATTTGACCAGAGAGGGACAGAGAGATAGAGAAAGTGAGCCACTGGGGTTGGGACTCAAACCACTATCAAACATGTGAGAGTCCAGCGCCCCCAATCACCACATCACCTACTGGCCCCCACCAGCACAGAATTTTATGCAGTGTCCTGGCCCACGGGACAATTGAGTAGGATGCCTGAGTGAGAGAGCAGAGGTCTGGAACCAGCGCAGCATCACAACATGGGAGCGACACAGTGTCACAGCTCAAGATGGTATGCAGTCGCTCGTTTATTGAGGGCCAGAGAACATTCTTATATACACAGGGTAGGAAAAGGGGGCGGGAACTGTCACGGACCTGACTGAGGACCTGCCTGAATGAGGAAGTCTCAGGGTGAATTGTCTACTCCCGGAACAAGGATACTTGAAGGTCCTTGTATGAAGGTCATGTCAGCCATTTTGGTGCATGTAGCTCCCCACAATGCAGCATCATTGGCACCGACTTTCTTTCTTTCTATGTTTCTTTTTTCTTCCTTTCTTCCTCTTTTGGAGAAATTTTTGCTATAGGGTGCATGCACTCACCAGAAAGACAGAGAGACAGAAAGCGAGAAATCACCCCCCAGGGGGGATGGCCACGTCACAATCCCTTTCTCCTCCATTCTTTTCTCAAGATCTTGGGTACACATGCACACGCACCCGGCATGAGTTTAAGCCACCAAGTCCAGGACTCAAACCGCAGTCGACTACATAGGAGTCCAGCGACATAGCCATTATGCTATCTACTGGTCTCAACATTGACTTTATTTATTTATTTGGAGAGATTTTTGCTATAGGGGGCGTGCTCTCATCAGAAAGAAGAGACAGACAGAAAGCAAGAAAACATCCCCTGGTTTGATGGCCACACCACAATCCCTTCTTTATTCTCTTCTCAGGATTTGGATCGGCCATGCACATGTGCTTGACATGAGTTTCAAGTCTCTGGTTTCAGGACTCAAAACTGCAGTCTGCTGTGTGGGAGACCAGAGAGTCCAGTGACAAAGCCATTATGCCAACTGCTGGCCCCAACACTGACTTTCTTGTAGAGCATTCTCACTTTATGCAACTTTTCACAAAAGCTTGATGCACTTTCTTCCCTCTGGAAGTGAAACAGTAAAATATGGTGAAAATGCAGTTTGGTCTTCCATTTTTAACTTGTAAAATCTCCAAAACTCAACCAAATCCCTCAATTATTTTATAGAATGAAGCTAGAATTGTCAGCTGTCAAATGACATACAATAACATAAATGTGAAGGACTCTAGTACTTCCAAAAATGAACCAGCACCATCTGTTGCAAAAATGCGTCATGATTTTTCCAACAACCCAATATTTTTAATGTTTTGATCTTTGTTGAATCCCTCACATGGCTAATTTCATCCACTGTATGAAGTTTTACTACTTTTGCCTATTGAGCAACACTTCATAGTAGTCCCCATGTTGTATTGACTTTGGAGCCAAATGATCCAGCTTTGAATTTGGCTCTACCACTTACCAGTTCTGTGACCGTGGCAAGTTATTTAACCTCTCTGTGCTCTACTTTTATTATCTCTAAAATAGAGAAATTGGTATCCACCTTTGAGGTTGTTATGAGGAGAGAGAGACAGAGACAAACAGACAGACAGACATTGGAAAAGTCACGGTGTATTTTTCTGTGTTTTCTATGAAATGTGTTAAGGCTTGTCTGAGGACACAATACACATACACACACACACACACACACACACACACATTGTTACATAGTGTTTAGCACTGTCTGGAACATGAGAAATGCTCTAAAAATTAGTAATTTATATTTGACCACTAACTTAGCAGGTATTAGATTTTCATTTTTACTGTATCTCAGAAAAAAAAAAAAAAAAAAAAAAAGGGTTTTGGGATCAAACAGACTTGGATACAAGTCTAAGTATGCCAATAACTTTGAATAAGTCATTTTCCTTTTCTGATCCTCAGTAAAATGAACAATAGAGTATGTAACTTTTCTAACCACTTAGTAATTATAAGTTGTTATCATTCCTAGTAACATTCATTGAGGGGTGGCGTAATGGTTAAGGCACTGGACACTCTCACATGGTCAACCATGGTTTAGGACCCTGGACCTGATAGCTTGCTTTCTCTCTCCCTCGCTCTGTCTCTTATCAAATTAAAAAAATAAATGAATAAATAAAGTAAAATAATTCTTAAAAAAAATCCATTCATTGAGAGCAAGTAGTGTATTGCAAAGTAATACAGTTTATACTATTAGTGATATCAGTCATATTCCTGGCATTAAAAGAAAAATAGGAGCCAGATGGTGGTGTAGTAGGAAAACATGATGCTCTGCTAGGCAATCACATATTGAAAGGTTTACAGTTCAAGTCTGGAGACCTCCCTGAGTATACTGGACACATTCTTGTCCATGATCCAGAACTGTCTCTTTTGCTTATGAAGAAATAAACTGTATGTATGTATGTATATCTATATAGTATGTGTGTGAGTATGTGTGTAATTTTTTTTTGGCTAGAGGGCATGTGCACTCATCAGAGAGAGGGGGAGAGGAAAAAGCACCCACCATGGGGAATGGTCACACTGCAATCCCTTCTCCTCTGTCTGCCTCCTTTTGAGATTTTGGACATGTACACACATGCAATCAGCATATTTCTCAAGCCACCAAATCTGGGACTCAAACTGCATGGTCAGCCATGTGGGATCCAGCAGCCTTAAGCATCAGGCCATGGAGTTGGCACCTAATTTTTTTTTTGAGAGATTTTCACTGTAGGGCGCGTGCGCTCGCCAGACAGACAGAGAGAGACATAGAGACAGAAAGCGAGAAATCACCCCCCAGGGGGGATGGTCACGCCGCAATCCCTTCTCCTCCATTCTCCTCTCGGGATCTTGGGCACGCACGCACACGCGCCCGGCGTGAGTTTTAAGCCACCGGGTCCGGGACACGAACCGCGGTCGACTACGTGGGAGTCCAGCGACATAGCCATTACGCTAACTGCTGGTTCCCCTAAATATATTTGTAAAAAGAAAAACAGGTGACTGTTTTTAGTTATGAAAGGTTCTAAAGAATATTGCACATAGACCCATGTTTTTTCCTTTCATTTGCATGTTCAATATTCAGCATTATACAGTGCCCCATGACAATTAAGAGAATATACTTTAGAGGCCAGCTGACCTGGAGTGGAATCTTGACCCCATCAATTTCTATCTTGGTGTCCTTGAGCAAGTTACTTTAATCTTTCTGTGCTTCAGCATCTTCATCTGGAAATGGAGCATCATAATATCTACCATTTATGGTACTTACAAGTATTAGCAAAAGTATATTTTGAATCTTTGAAAATGGTAGCTGTGTCATTATTGTGTTGTTGGCATTGGATTTCAGCCAGATCGCCAGATCCATTTGTTGTCACACTAAGTTCTCAGAACAGTTTCAGAATTTACTAGGTATAAGCAAGTTTTTGGCTTTCTAGTATTTTTGAAGAACCAAAGCAGCTTCCTCTTATGGATATGCATGGGAAATCAGCCAGTTTGAGATTTTTATTTCCACTGAGTATAATTTCTGTTTTTGACAGGGCTCTTCAGATGGAGTTTCTAAATCCCTGGAGTTTCATCAAGGTCGGTCTCATTCCCAGATAAATGGGAACAGTGGCACATTGATTAAGGAAGAGAAGAGTGACCATCATCTTCTACCTCCTTCACAGTGTGCCTTATCCAGAGACAACAACATGTGTAATGATGGTAACCGCTACCTCCCTGGGAAGAACGGGGAGAAGAACCACTTACAAGAACAAGAGCTAGAAATTGTGACTCAACGGAAAGAGGAGTGACAAGCTGAAAATGGCTTCACCAAATCAGGAAGAGGGGAAAACATATACTTTTTGGATTCTAGGCCTAAGTTAGAGGAGGATATAAATATTTACCCTAGATTTTAACAGAATTTTGATGGGATGTCCTATTGTATCTATCTTTTCCCTTCCCTATCTTTTTCTGGGCCTCTAGACTTAATGGTCTGCTTCTAGGGAGGTTCCAGTAAAAGATGAATGGCAGGAAGACCAGCTCCCATTCTCAAATTGATTGTTTAGCACCAATAATCTCTTTTCTCCCCTGGGAGCCTGGTAAGGCAGTAATTGTCATCACATAAGGTCCTATAGAAAAGTTCTAGCTTTAGTTTTCTGAGTATTTATCCTGATATTAATTTACAGAATTAGGTAATACACCTATGGGGTTATGAGGACAGCTGTCTATGGCTTCCTGAATTTTTTTTTTCTGCAAAGTGGTGGGGCCTTGATATATAATCGCAATCCACCTCCACCTCACTCTTTCTCCCAAATCATGTACCCCAGGATTTAGTACTACCACTTCTAGCTCTGGCCTGACAATCAGATTAGTAGATGTTTTCAGAGAAATGAGGTAGTATTGGTTATTTTATTTTATTTTTATTTTATATATTAAAAAATAATAGCTACCAATGTCCTTTGTACTGGGGGATTCAAATGAGTCAGAAAAGTACTGGGCAGATTTTTCCTGCCTCTCAACCAGTGCATTGTCTGTAAAATAGAAGATATGGTGCAGTTTACCCCCTCCCTGCTGCCCACACCCTGAAAGGGTGAGAATCAACGAAATGAAATTGAGTATGAAAGGGACTCAGAAGATTCTGTGTGTGTGTGTGTGTGTGTGTGTGTGTGTGTATACATATGTGTATGTATGTATGAGTGTATATATGAATGTGTGTATCTATATACATTCACATACCCTTTATATAAAGAGACAGATCTGTTTATCTATACAAATTTTATACATATATTACAAATTTTATACATATATATATATATTTGTGTGTATACATATACATGTATACATATACATACATACATACATACATACATAGTCATGTCCCAGAGTATTTACTGAATTTCCCAGAAATGCTTCCACTGCTATGGAGTAGGGGGTTTCAAAAGACCACACTTTGAATATGAAATCCTTACTAAGTCACAGCCCATCACAAGTATGAAAAGATGAGCTACTCTAAATCAGACAAAAGTACTTTTCACAGATTGCCAGTTTAGAACAATGAACACTTGGGTTGTTAACAAGTTTAATCTTGTACAGAGCCGTCACATCCCATATAATGAAAATAGGAGACTAGAATGGGATGAGGAAGAGTTGAGCATTTCCTTATGAAAGTTCGGAGAGGAAAAGGGATGGAGGTAATTAACATTGGAAAGGACTTTCAGCCAATTTGGAGGAAATTTCTTTTGGAACTCCTTGATCATACTGACTTCAAGCTACAATTGACTGACAAATTCCTGAAGGACAGGGACTAGCTTTGGAAAGATGGGGAAGAGACGTGTGAGAAAATTGATGATTTAATTTTATATACCTAGATTGTTTCATTTCTTCATTGACATTTTGACTATAGGATCTTTTCATTTGCTTTGAAAGGAAGACTTCAGAGGACTCTGGCCTAGGCCTTGTATTCTAAAAAAGACTCTCAGCCCCCTGTTTGGCTAGGATCAGTCCAGGATAAAGAGGCTGTTTCTGCTGGAGATAACCTTGAGACAACCTTGCATTTCCAGTTTCCCTCCTTGGGCAGCCTAAGTATGAGGGATAGAAACATGGCTTACAACAAATTAGTATTGTATCTTCATTCAGGAATTGAGGTGCCTAGCCTCACACACATCTTTTTGGGCCTTGTGATATTCTTGCCCCAAAAGTATAATTTCTACAGGAGTACAACTGACTAGACTTCTAGCAGAGTGCTCTTTTTTTTGGGGGGGTGGTGGTATGCACCTTAACTCACAACAGGTCCTTGGGTGATTTTTTTTCTAGACATCCAGAAGGCTGTTTGTTCATTGCCCACTTATAATGGTTGTATCATGAGAAATTAAAAATAGTCTCAGACTATTTAGTCCTAGTCTGAACCAGTTTAAAAGAGCCTATAATTCATAGGGGAAGGAAGCCCTGGAATGCCTTGCCCCCTGCTTAGATACTTTTACATAAACCAAAGAAGGATGACAAGAATGTACACCTAGCAAGAAATAAGTAGAAACAAAGTGTACAAAAACCTCCTCTTTGGAATCAGCTACCCTAATTTGGTCCCCCTTCTCTTGGACCTGCTTCACAACATCTTGAAGGTTTGGACTTTTATATTCAGCGAGAGAATTTGTAAATTTAAATGGCTTGGAATTTCCATTCTGGAGCCACAGAGGAATGAATCCTTCGGGCTCTAAAAGTAACCAGAGTCTCAGAGCTGTGAAAGAGATATTTGTATAGATATATACATACATATATCCATTGTCTAATCAGAAGTACTTGGAATTTAAATGGCAAGGTTTTTTGGTTGTGTTTTTGTTTCTCACTTGCCGTTTTTGTGCATCTTGTATCTATCTAACACAATTGGATGACAGTATTGTTCTCTCTCACATTAAAGAATTTCCTGTTTTGTAGGTATTCACTGTGAGAGGTAAAATTGTTGCTTTGACAAGGATGATTCCAATTTGCCAAAAGGCTTGCTTTTCTCCCTTCTATACACCTCTACTTTCCCCTGGCCTGGCCAGGGTGAAACAAGTGACTTATCTCCAACCTGGATTTCTATTTGGAGTCAACATTTTGGGTTTGGAAGGTTACAAGGAAGAAGGGAGACATTTCTTTCTGTATTTTAACTTGCCTGCCAAAATCCATAACTTAAAAGCCAGAAAAACTAAGGCTCATTACAGGGACATGACCTTTTTCTAGTTGGAGGACAAATTGAGGAAGGTAGCATCCGATCTTTGCTGTACCACTTGAAGAGACTGTCATTCTTCACTTCAGGTTTCATTTCTCACTGGTGTTCTCTTTCTATGGGAACCCCCAGAAATGACCCCTTTACCTTGGAGGGTCACAAGCAAAAACACCCTGGTTGTATACAGTTACCCCCAAGGACTTGTAGTTCTTGATTTCTGCTGGTGTCTTGGGGTCAGCCTATAATTCCTACCCTTACTCAGTGGTCAGTCTGGTCTGGACCAGGCCTGACAAACTTCTGCTCATTTGCATCATTTTCATTCTGAGCCAGTAGGACTTAGGGTAGACTTTAAATCCCAGGAAGTGGTACTTGACTTGACTAGTCACATTTGACTTTTGTCTCCATCTTTATTTTCTGACATTGTTAGCCAAGTCACACTAACTTTTGTTGATCACTGAGAATAACAGCCAGACAAGGCATTAAGGAGAATGGTTCAGGTGGGGAGTAGGGAGTAATGCTAAGTAGGTAGAAAGAATGTAATAGTAGCTGTTTGATTATGGTGATTGAGTCCTTTGGAACTTTAGAAGGCTCCTGTGGGCTACCATTTCAGCCTCTAAGACCCACTCCCCCAACTTCATTGAAATGACAATACAAGTAGACCACAGTTTAAAGTAGTATAATTCCACTAAGGTATAATCGTTATATTTGTTCACTTCCTGGTGCATATTCCCTAAATATGCTTGGGGCTTGGGGTGGGGGGATGAGTTTTCACAGTTCCATTGTGTGTCACCCTGTATTTTTCTCCCTCTTGTGACTTTGGCATCTTATTTGGCTTTCTATTTTCATTTCCCTTGGCTTATTGCAGTAGTAGTATCTGCTGGTGCAGTTAGAGAGCACAGTGCATCTATTCCCCTATTATTGCTAATTGTCTTAAATATTGTCAGAGGTTATTTTGATGTTCTAAGAAAATAACATTTTTTACAAAATCATATTTTCCCAGTTAAAATAAAATATCCCCTGTGCTAGGGTGCCCATTTCAGCTTGACATTGTCCCTGTACTAGATGCTGTTTTTGTCCATGTTGGTAGTAACTAATGACCAGTGAATTTTTATGTAAATTAAGCCAATAATTAAGTTTGTATTAATCTCTCATAACCCTACCAAATCTGATGACTTCATTTTAATTACTTCCCTGAAGGTACTTCCCCTCCTACTTTTTTTCTTCTAGTTTTAGACTAAAACACTAGGTAAAGAAACTTTAACTGCAAGGAATCAGTGATTTTTAGTGTTCCTTAATAAATGATGTTATTGACAAAAGTAAGAAATTCTTTATTGTTTTTTCCCGTGTTATTATCTCATTTCCTGTGCTCTTGACAGTGTGTTTAGTGGATGGATAGTCTGTATTTCTCCTTCCTGCTCCCAGATTCTAAATTCACTGCTTTTTTTTTTTTTGCCAACCTCACCACAAAAGCTCCATAGTTTATAATGTAAGTTTGAATGGATGCTTCTTTGGGGAAACTGCAGGAGTTGATAGAAGTGTTTCAGAAAGGAATAAGAATGTCTCAGGTGTTATTCTGTGATGGATATTGATCTGTTCTGTTAATGCTGATGGAAAGAAACTTACAGTGCTTAATAAAAGTTTATTCTTTTAGTAAAAAAAATATTGTGAAATAACTTTGAATGTGTTAAGTTCAATTTCTTCCATCTCTGCATTCCTTTCTACAAATAGGGATAAACATATCTCAATAAGAAGTGTTAAACAGGGACCAGCAGTTAGCATAATGGCTATGTTACTGGACTCCCATGTAGTCGACCATGGTTCGAGTCCGGACCTGGTGGCTTAAACTCACGCCAGGTATGTGTGTGTGTGTGTGCCCAAGATCCTGAGAGGAGAATGGAGGAGAAGGGATTGCGTGGTGGCCATACCCCTGGAGGGCGACTTCTTGCTTTCTGTCTCTCTGTCTTTCTGGCAAGCACACACACCCTATAGCAAAAACCTCTCCAAAAAAAAAAGAAAAGAAAAGAAAAAGAACTGTTAAACAGAGTGTATTTGAAGAGTAAGGGCAAGAGACACAGGAAATCATGAAAAGGAAGAACATATTTATTTTTCTTATTAACTTACTTATTTTGAAGTTCTAAAGATACCTTTAACTTGTATTTTCCAAACTAAATATCATCCTTTTTTTAATTTTTAATTTTTAGGTTTTTGCGATAGCACACATGCACTCACATGAAAGACAGAGGAAAAGTGAGAAATCACCCTCAAGGAGGGATGGCCATGCCGCAGTCCCTTCTCCTCCATTCTCTTCTTAGGATTTTGGGCATGCATGCACATGAGTCTAGAGTGATTTTTAAGCCCCCAGGTCTGGTACTCAAACTGTGTTCAGCCATATGGGACTCTAGTGCCTTAACCACCATACCACCTCCTGGCCCTCTTCTTTTTTTTTTTTTGGAGAGGTTTTTGCTATAGGGCACCTGTGCTCACCAGAAAGAGAGAGACAGAAAGCGAAAAATCATCCCCCGGGGGGATGGCCATGTGGCAATTCCTTTCTCTTCCATTCTCCTCTCGGGATCTTGGGCACATACACACACCTGGTGTGTGTTTAAGCCACCGGGTCTGGGACTCAAATCTCAGCAAACTACATGGGAGTCCAGTAACATAGCCATTATGCCAACTGCTGGTCCTCCTCTTCTTAATTTTTTAAAAAGTTTTATTACTTCCATGAGAGAAAGAGACAGAGAGTGAGAGATACCCTCAACAGGGACTTCACAACACAGTCCAGCCCCCAACCTCAGCCAGCCAGGATCATGTGCACATGCCCTGTGTGCATACAGTGTTATTATATAAACCAGGACCTTCTCATGTAGCCTAAATATCACAGAGCATTGCATTATCTCTATGCCACTGCTTGTGATCAAACCTATCCTTTCTTCTGAAGCGTGTGCCTCTCCTTGAATGATACTACCTTCTACCCAACTGTCTAAATTACAAACTTCCCCGGGACTTAGTTATCATAGACATGTCTGTCCCTCATTTCTCAAATTTGACAAGATCTGTGATAACACTCAACAT